AATTTATTTATTTATTGTATGTAGATTTCAGTTATTATTTATTCAGTTATTCAGCTTGGATTCCAATCTAAAGACCTCTACAAAAATAATTACAGAAAAAAGTTTCAATTGGGGCTGTGAAATTAATCCTGGATTCGTAAATGACGAATAAGGGGAAAAATTTTCAGGGATATGTATGTACTGTATTCATTTCTGTGTGTTTGTGTTGACATCTATTTCGTTTAATATCTCAGGATTGGGTAATGATTAAGAAACGAAATTACGCATGAAATTTCATAGTTTGTTCATAAGGAGAATTAATTCTATTAAAATTTGGTAATTAAAGGTCGAGGGATGAAACGATGTCAGGTGTCCCACAAAGGTCGAACTTAATAAACACTTTATTCGTTATTAGGATTTATAATTAAAAAAATAAAACTGATCTGTACAATTAAAATTAAGCTTGTTGTCATTTTGTACTGATGAATAATATAAAAAATTTTATAACGAAATTTCGTAAAAGATGGCACCACACGCGATTTTATTTACTATGATCAATAATATAAAAGTTATTTTTTATAATAAAAGCAAATAACAGTGAGGAAAGATATGCAACTCGTTGCAAAAGTTAATGAAACATAAAATGTTTCCTTGTAAGATATTTTTCTATAGAATAGTATTAAAAACATTATATATAAATCTTAAAAAAACCAAACGTAACAAATTTGTTATCTCAGTTATATTGAAGTTATATTGAAGTATGTAAACCGGCTTACAAACAATTTTTTTTAGTTCAGAATGTATACAATTCATTAGAATTATTATCTGTTATTAATCTTGATGATGATGGACACATTTCTTTTTAATAAATTTGCCTAATTCCTCTAATTTAATATACCAATCCTGCAATTTGCATGTGGCTACGTGCATTCCTAATTAGTGTTGCATTTCACTTTTGAAAAGTTTATATTAGATTTTCTGAAAATGCATGAAATCTATCATACTAAAACTTTTATTGAATATGCAGCTGATATTTTTTTCTTTGTATAAACTCGGTCTCGAGTCCAATTACATTTATTGTGGTTAACTTCGACTCTTTTATTCGTCAGATACAATAGGAAAATTTTTACATCATTAAAGGTAATTCGTATTGAAATGTATTGTTTCCAGAATTATTCGAATTTAAATGTCTATGGTAGATCTGCAAAAGAAGCCTTTTAAATTCTAATGAAATTATCGTACATCTGAAAAAAGAAGAATATTTTAACGTGTAACTGTCTCATTATGCAAGATGTTTAGAATTCAACTGACGGTACTAATACACTCGTGCAACCATCATACAGAACTCAATCGAACAAAACTCGTTACATCCGCAAAGTGTATCACGATAAAGAAATTTACAAGGAGAATAATAAGATAAGTTTTCACCACCAGGGAAAAATTTAGCGCTACAAGGTTAACAGTTATAAGACAGTAGACCGTAATTTTATTAAAAGAATGAAATTACATTTTACACATTTACGCAATGTGCTTAATGTATAATGATCAGGTGTGAAAATAATAAAAGAATCTAAAAATGGAAATTCCTACTATAAGTATATACGGTATTCCGTGTGAAGGAAGTGCTATACATTGATGTTCTACATAAAACTCGTTTTTCCTCAAAATGAGCTATACAGCGTTGTCCTTAAGGTACTTGAATTGTCACAGAATCTACGAGAAAAGTCGCACTATCTGCTGGTCTTCAGCTCCGATGCCGAGTGCACATGCCTCTAATATAGTATTTTTCAACCTGTAGATCGCGAAACCCAAGGGGATCGCAAAGCCTTACACGGGCTGTCGCAGCTAAAAGAAAAAGACAAGTGTTTGTCGGTCCTACACTACAATAAAAAAAAAACTACAATTTCAGTTAGAAGGCTGTGCCTGTTTAATACTTTTTACTAATTTGTCGAAATGCGATTCTATTTTTGAGACACAAATAATTAAATGATTTTCTAATTGAAGCTAATTTCTCTTTTTACTTTTTATATCCACCATTGAAGAGAACNTTTCCTCAAAATGAGCTATACAGCGTTGTCCTTAAGGTACTTGAATTGTCACAGAATCTACGAGAAAAGTCGCACTATGTGCTGGTCTTCAGCTCCGATGCCGAGTGCACATGCCTCTAATATAGTATTTTTCAACCTGTATGTCGCGACCTTCAAGGGGATCGCAAAGCCTTACTCGGGGTGTCGCAGCTAAAAGAAAAAGACAAGTGTTTGTCGGTCCTACACTACAATAAAAAAAAAAACTACAATTTCAGTTAGAAGGCTGTGCCTGTTTAATACTTTTTACTAATTTGTCGAAATGCGATTCTATTTTTGAGACACAAATAATTAAATGATTTTCTAATTGAAGCTAATTTCTCTTTTTACTTTTTATATCCACCATTGAAGAGAACGTTAATTCACATAGGTAACAAGTGGCGAATGGCCTCCCTTGCCAGTTCTGAATACATTTGTTTTTTCTTCATCCAGAAGACATTAATATTTTGCGAATGAAATTCCATTTTAAGCATGTCGTCAGCAGGTAAATCTATAAGATTTTCTTTCATCTTCGTGGTTATATCAGCCACTTGTATTGACATATCCATGAGAGGATTCAGTATCTATCTATGCTCATTGTCAGCTTCAAAGTCCAGTTTTGGAAAGTAAGTTAATAGTTTCTCTTCCAAATTATGCAAGCTCCTGCAAGGAATGTGAGAACTTACTACCAACAATTGATCCATTGCAGTTTCATCGACCCCTAATTGTTCTCTTGAGTTCCATCGATCCCTTTCAAAATTCCACTGACTCCAAGAAGTTTATAGCGACCCTGTCCAGAATCGTCGCTCTACATGAAAAATATTTATTTTGTTTTTATTGGTCTATTTACATTATTTACAGTAATTCACTTAATGCGAAACACTCGTTAAACAAAACAATTTTTTCGATGTAAATTAATGTAAAACACGACAATGCGCTCCAAGCCGAAAAAAATACTCAAATATTTTATGTATAACGTTTATTCAAAAAAAAATTATACAATATACATAGTTAAGGAGAGTGAATCATCATTATCATTTCTTTAGCGCGGAATGAACCAGCCTGAAATACGAATTCAATTCGCAGAAAATAATTAAAAAAATCGAAAAAACATGTTTCATAAACAGCCAAACGATATGCCAAATTTTGAGCTCTGTAAAACCTATAATTAAATCCTTTATTCTTCACTCGTTACGCGAAACGTCGCTCGTTAAGCAAATCGTTTTTATAACTTGTTTTGCTCGTTGCGCGAATTACTCGTTATTGAGAGGGGTTTGTTAAGCGAGGTTCCACTGTAGATGCTAACACATACTCACACCCAAGTATTTTTCTTGTGTTTTTTGTTTTTTTTTGGACTCGGGTGCTCTAAAATCATGGGAATTCGCAAAAATCCAAAAGGTTAAATTTGTCGCGATTCCAGTACTTTCTCTTGTTATGTATACTTAACAGCGAGAGAAGTAAAACTAATGTCAAACTTTGATTCTTCAATCGAAACATCGAATACAGGAATTGAGTTTACGCAGTTGTCGCACGCGACATCGCTTACCTCAAAATCGCGGCGATATAATTTAAAAGAAGTTCGAATCGGCAACGTTATCTTTTTACATAAGAAATTTTTCACAATGTACACATGAATTTTGAGATTATTTTGTACCGTTTAATTATAACTTTTTTTTGAAAATTAAAGACAATCCTCAATTTAGGCCATTTTTGTAAAGGCTAACTACCATCAAAAGCACTTAAAATGCTAAGAATTCTTAAATTAGAGGAAATAATCTGTTACACAGACGAAATTTATTCAGTTATTAAGTGAAATTTTTATTTTATTTTGTAAAACGTGCAAGATATATTCATATTGGTCATAAAATTAATAAATTTTCATGAAATCTTTACTGTATTTTTCATCAATTCTCTTGAATTTCCCAAGCTGTAAAAGAAACATTTAACATAATCTGTAAAAGAAATTGGGAAGAAAAAATACAGCAATTTATTATAATTTTATGTTATACTATAGTAAATTTCAGTAGCGCCTTATATTTTTATGAAGTTCAGTTAAATTTGAATTAAGTGGTCCCGTATACAGTGTTGACTTCAAACATTTTACTTCGAGAAATTTTTGAGAGAAATTCCCTAGTATCCTAGTGTGTTGGTCCAGTACGCTCTGCGCTTGCACCACGCTGGTATCTAGGGTCCCCAGATATGTCCGAAATTTAAATTTCGATATTCTTACTACAGTAATAAGTTTTAAAAAATATTGGTTTTTGGCCATCTGTTAGTGGAGGCCTCAAGCAATTGCTCTTTTTGCGTATAAGATAAAGTGTTAATGAAAAATTCCGAAAAAAATCTCGAATTAATTTTCCAATAAATTCTCATATAATAAATAAAGCATATAATAAATTTTCATACAGTTAAAACAGATTGATGAACTTTCTTTTACTTTTATCGGCCAAGCTCTCAATGGCAGGGCTGATAAGTAAAGAAGACATTTGAGACATATCACCCACAAAAAATATTCAACTTCAGACTTTTTCTACTTGTTTCCAGCGCGATATACATGCTTGTGTGACATTATCAATCACACTTAGTTTCATGCCAAGAATTCGCATTGAATAATGTAAACAAATATAATTAGTAAATATAGAGTTGTTTTAATTAAAGTTTTCTTATTCAGAACACTCTGTATCTGTAAATAATAACTGGTTTGACACCAAAATTTGTACATGGACTATGCGTGCTAGGAAGCAAAAACAGTTAAATTAGAAAGTTCTGCTAGATGAAACTTTACAAGAAAGTATACGAAACAAAACAGTGTAAAAAATGAAAACTGAAGATCAAGTTTAAAGTAACATTTCAATCTGTTATTTTAAGACAATTACGATTAGAGCCAACTATTAATTGTATGTTTATCACCTTCAAATTTTACATCTGAACAATGATGCACACATTGATCAACTTTCCTTAGTTCAGTGAACAGCGCAAGGTCCATTGCGCTACGAATAAAAGCGTTTTCGTGCTGTTTTTGTTCTTTTGTTTTATGTATTTATTCTGTAAAGCGAACGTTTTTCAATTAATTTTTGAATAGTCTGTGCATAAATTTTGATCCCAATCCGCTTACTGGTTACAGATTTAGTGCTGTGAGTAAGGAAACTGATTATGGCCATTCTGTATACACCAATAAAAATCTATAATATATTTACTAGATACAATGGTAATTAAAATAAATTTTACTCACATTTTTTCAAAAATTGAACAATGTGATGAAAATTGAAACTTTCTTTATCTGTGTCAACGTCTTTCCAATGCAGAAGCTGTCCAGATTTCAATAACACCAGCTTACTCTCAGGAGTACATGCATTATTTCCATCCTTTTCAAGAGTATCATTAGATAAAGATACAATTGACGATGAGCTGGAGTACCTATCAGATTTCTGCCCATTATCTTTCTCAATTTCTTCAACAGTACCTGTTACTGAAGAAGATGACAATTCTAATGATTTCTCACGTTCATTTTTTTGTGATTTCATAGAAGAGATATAAAGATTGATATCTTGTTTAGCTTGTTCTTTGGTACATTTACCATTAATAATTTGTAATAATTCATCCGAGTCTATGCCAAAACTGACATCACAAATTTTTTTTGTTGGCAGATAATTATCCATTATAATGACTGGTGCATTCTTTTTTCTTTCACGGATACATGCTTTTTCTGCGTGACAATTATTATTTTCAGGATTATTGACGATTACTTTCGATTTTGAAAGTAGTGTTTTGTCTATATCTATATTGTAAATGGCAGATTTTTCATCGGTTTTTAACATTGAATCTTCTATTTTTAAATCCGATGATGTATCGGAATTTATGCATTGTTCGTGATTTGAAATTACTTCTGGTTGCACATTAACAGATAATTTACAATTGTCATAATCAATTTTAGATTTTGATGGAACTACTTCTAATGGTTCTTTATGATTTACAAATTGATTCTTAACATTTTCTGAATTTTCCTGTAAGAAAGTAACTGCATGTTTATTCTTATCGATGCTCGAATAAAATGTTGCTCTATATAAATTACTGCAATATACTTTTGAAGTTGGAGCAATAGAGTTACGAGCAATATCGGCATATGATACTTGTAATGATGAATCAAAATTCGAGCATGATTGAAAAGATAAAGATCCATTAACGGACGAACAATGAGCATAATGTAAATCAAGATCATCTACAGATGATGAAACAACACTAGTTTCTTTAGGTCTTGCATAATAACCGTCATGTTGATTTCTGTTCTTATATGCTGCAGCTGAATTACCATTATAATATCTGTTTGCGTTCGTTTTCTTCAATGGATAACGCTTACAATGCTTTTTCATTACAACTCTAAATTCATTGTCTTCTAAGTTTTCTTGTCCAGTAAATTCGCAATATTCAGGTGAGATTCTACTTTCTGTAGCATGATTACTCTTTGAAACTGTAAAATGCTGACTAGATCCACCTTCTTCAGGCACTGATACTACCTGTACGAATTTTTCTGTTGTATTCTCTTGTGTTCTGTTATCATAACGAATTTTATTTTTCTTCTTGGATTTTGTAGGATTTGATTTCTTTTTATTACAATTCTTAGGAGTTTTCATTTTGTATTTACTGGGATGGCCTTCTTTCTTTCTACAAACTTCATTATCCATTGAATGTTTACCTGCTAAGCTGCAAATCTGATCAGCAGTTGTTCCGTTGGTTTGTTTAGTTTTAACCGTATGATCGTAGGAATTTATAAATTTAAGCAAAGAATCTACGTCTTCCTCTCCTCTGTGACCGTCTATATTTTCAGACATTATAAAATTGTGCTTTCCAATATTTTTTATGTTTCGTTTTATTCTGCGAAGAAGTATATCAAATGTCGTGGAATTTTCTCTAGATGAATAACGGTAAAATGATGAATTTTGAAGCATGTCTGATATACACGGAGTTCTTAAACCAAGAGAATATATAAAATTTTCAATTATATCCATTGCGCAAAACTGTCTATCTTCATCTAATTAAAAAAATTGGTGTTTTAAAAATAAGTGTATTAATGAATTATGAGTATAAATATATAATTTATTTATGTTTTAAATGCATTAAGAAGGCCTTTTTAACATCATGTTCATTATGGGTCGGGCCACAATAGAGGCAGCCATTTGGTACAGTACATAACCAGGACAAACAACCACAAAAATTCCTGAAGGTTTCCGATTCCCGCATCCTCAGGGCGGTAAGCTGACATTTTAACTATGTCATTAGACCTAGTAATTAAAGATTTGGTTTGATGAAATACGGCAGTGCGATCTGCCAAGTGGAATGCCACTTGGAATATCTTGCTATGGGAAGCTAATCCCTGTTTAGGTGTTATACACGTGGTAAAACCTAGAAATCTCTACTCGTCGTGGTCAGGTGCGATCAGTGGTTTAAGCCACTGGACTACTGGTATATAGTTATGTACAGATCTAATCAATTATCGTCTAGATGTGTTAGAACAGTTTATAAAAATTAATTTAATTTGTTATGTAAGGTTTTAGATAAAACATACCTAAAAGACTTGAACTGGGAAAAATTTCTTGTGACGAATATCCTTCTGGTTAAATAGAATTATGAATTGTTAGGTTTTACTTTTTGAAATATTCTGACTAATTGATTAATTTTAACATAAATATAATTAAGAATGTTAGATTATACTTTATTCATTTTCTTTAATTAAATAAAATTAAAAAATTAAATTTAAAATTTCTCTGAATGTTTAAATTTCTAATTCAATAAATAAATTTATTTATTTTATATGCGATATTTATTCTCCTCTAATATTTGCTTGTTTGCTGACTTTTTTTAATACAATGTAAATTTCATATTTTTGGTTATAATTTGTATTTATAACGAAAACAATGGTTGATCCTAGGTGACAAGCCTAAACTAAGCAAACTAATAGTCTAGTCTGAATTATGCTATTGATTTACTTGGCTGCTGGTCACTTAGAAGCGCCCAATATCATCTATATTACAATATAATTTTTTGAAATTTCCCATTTTGCTAGCACTAAGAGGGGTCATAGCGCCGTTAAAAGTCCTCTAAGTTCGCATTTCAGATAGGAGTGACTTGTCAGTGTTGATCTATTATGAATTTTCTGAGCCAACCAAAATCGAACCTGTATCCAACAGAGTGGTAATTTCTCAGAAATGTTTCATAAACGCTTTATCACGACCACCGCTTTGTGAGCCTGAACAAATCCACAATGGGTATGTCTAAAAATTTAGACTTTCTTAGTACCAGTAAAGAGTAAAAAAAAGTAACAAAAAGACTGGTAATGCGGCTTTTTCGATGATTTCGTACCACTAATTGTTTACAGTTACCCCATCTCCACTACCAGGGGTGGGGAGCCGCGAACTCTTCACTACTGTATCTTGGTACACCAAAATCCAGTAAACGTAAACTTAAGTAGAATGTTATCGTGTATGTATTAATGCATTATAGTATATTGCAAAGACGGAAATTGAGATACCTCACCTCATCATCACCTATTTCATTCTTATTAAAAAGCATTACCAAAAAACAGGGGTTTTAAGAATTGATTTTATAATATTAAAAAATTAAATTAAAAATATATCAAAGAAAGTATAACCTGAATTTTCATTAATCATATTTTTCGTTTTTCTCATCCGTTTTTTTCTTATAATTTTTTTTATTTCACAATGTACACCTGTAAATAAATTTCAATTATATATGTTATAAATACACTGAAAATTTTATAAATTGAGATTTCGAATAAAGTTTTAATACGTTTACGAGTAAATATTTTAATTTTATTTATACAAAACGATAACAAGATTTGTAGAATAAATAGATGCAACAACACATGGACCATACACCAAGAGGTTTACTATCTTGGATAATTTGGCTCTTGCTTAGATGTTAGACATGTAACGAAAACCCGACAGAGGTGGTATTTTTTAAAATTATTTCCGTCGTGTGTCGAAACCACTTGCCGACCAGTGGCCAAGTGGTTCCGGTTTCTAGACATTGGGAATTCGGTCGTGGGTTCGCGTCTCGCCAGGTCGGACTGGCCGCGTGGAGTTTTTTTGGGTTTTCTCCAAGTCTGTATTGCTCGAATGGAAGCCAGTTATCCTTAAAAAACCCTCCCGGAAGGTCTCTCCCCTAGGAAAATCGTCCAAAATGTAATTTAATAAACAAGCGACCATCGTGTGTGACCGAGCCCACGATGAGGACCGAGTGGTGAAAAACGGCTTCAACGTGTTTGAAACAGACTTCTGTGGAAAACTTCCTGAGAGAATTTGACTACCCGGATTCAATTTCAGTTCCCCTATAGAAATAGGTTGACATTTTAAGGCCTCGGCCACTCAGCCATCATTCACAACTACTATAGTTACATAACAAATTGGAAATAAGAATGCCTCGAAAACACTAGTTCGAGTTGGGTTGAACTTATTACTCTAAAACACTAATAGTAGATCGTATATAAAGTGTCAGGAAATGTTTAGTAAATGACATTTCTAAAGAAATATGACACAGATAATTCTTATAATACTTACAAACAAGGCGCTAATTAAATATTGTTGCTCTAACAATGATGGCTTTCTCGTATTATTACGTTTATGAATTCTGTAAAAATGCAAGATTTAAAATAAAAATACCCTAATTTCCAGTCATTGGTTTCTGTATCCAGCTATATTAAAGCCGGTTTACTAAATAACACACCTTTTTGCCCACTCTCGGATTAAAATTTTAAAAAAATGATTCAGTTTTCCTTTTGCTATATATATTCGGATCATCCAAATTAAAACCTGTATAAAATCAATTCGGAATTAATGTTCAATCCTGTTCAACAGAGGAAGGGATGTTTCATCCCTATTTGTCCAACATCTCGAACTGATGGTGAAAACGACTCGTTGATGGATCTTGTGGAAGCATTCTTCAATCCATACGGATTCTGTCTGTCTCTTTCAATAATACGAGTTGGCCTTCCTTCAAGTTAAGTTGGCTCTTATTCCACTCGGACCATCTCTGTAACTCGTTCAATTACTCAGAGTTCGACCTCATCGAAACTCTAGCCATCAGATCTTTAGTGAATCTTTGGTGAGTATATTCGGGGATCCTTTCCTTTATATCTTGCCCGTCTTTGGCAATTATTTGAGCCTATGTTTAATAGCAATTTTTTTTTTTTTAAGTTTTCGGTGACACATTCAGAGGATGTGTTACCTTGGGACAAGTTCGTGGGTAATTATATCTTTTTTTTGGTGTTTTTTTTCCAAAAGTTTTTGAATAAAAAGTTTTGTCAAGTCCGGGCTCTCACATGTTAATGGTAGTTAATTCATTAATTAATTAAATAACAATAACTTATTATTAAACCTGTAATCTTGTATTATTATTTTTCATTAGACAAAATCGGCATTCGGCATTCAGCATTATATTTAACTAGCTGCAAGGACCCAATTCGCTGGGTTTTTAAAAAGTAACGATAGTGAAGATTAAGATAATTACATTATAGCCAATCTTACCCGCTTTCACAGAATGCAAGAATTAGGTCCCCCGTTTCCAGACTAATTAGAGACCTGGTCCCGATTCTATTTCTGAACGTCTCCTGTTCACGTCCAGTCAAACGAACTATTTTCAACGTTTCTG